AAAAGAGTCCGGCGTTAAACGTCCGGATTATCGAAAATCCGAATTAAAGGGAGACGAATTAACGGAAGTTGACTGTATTGTACTGAAGTATGTAAATCGCTATTTTGATGTACTTGAAAAATTTGCATCTACGAACGACGTGTAAAATTTGCAACATCTTGCTTGCTTTAAAATGAGAAAACGATTCGAAAGGCACGTCCTACAAGTAACAGCGTTGTATCTTGGTGTTGTAGAGAGAAATCGATCGTTGTTTGAAGAAGTAGACAATTTTAGGAATATATGGTAATATAATAATGACCATTGTATAGTACTTTACAAGCAATTGGTGTAACAAACCGATCATAGTACCATTATCTTTACATTCAAAATGGTGGGGTACTTTTAGACGGTATGTCGAAATGGGAACAACGACCCTTTGCGTGTTTATTGTTGTAGAAGATGATATCTCTTCAACCAAATTTTGTAGCTCACTGCGAATTGAAATTTATTGAATGCTATTGGGGAGCATGCACAAAATAATTGTAATTATACGTGTATTGGATTACAATTAACAGTTTCTCGCGCTCTCGATTCAATTAATTTAGTAACTATTCGTAGGTTTGCGCGAAAACGTGGCGATATATGGATTTGTACAGACATGGTATTACAGGTCAATTAGCAGGATGCCGCTAAATATATATTGCACGGAAAATCCCTGAAGATACATAAAATAAATTACGAACAAATTAATTCGATCCAACTTCTTATATAATAAACATATACTGTTCAATCTGCAACATTTATGTTAATGTCGAGTTTTACTTTATTCGAAATTTGAAGTGTCCGGACAAGTAATGTATTTCAAAATGAAACATTATAAAACTTATCAAAACGCATTGTGATTTTAGATATATATGTCATGTAATCTGTAAAGCAAAATTTCGGATTGCTTGGTCTTTAAATGATGCATTGTATCATAGCATCACGACACCACCTTCGCATCCCCAATGGACGTAATGATTTTAATATTGTGCGTGGTTAATATTATATTAAGGCAGTTTTTGGCTTTTTGTTTGGACCACCCAGCATGGACGTTCGTTTCCACGTTTCTGACAGCAACTAGATAATATGGTAGAGAATCTTTTCTGCCTTTTTTTCATAGAAACTTGCCATAATAATATTCAACAACTTGGTCGCGATAACTTAAATTCTCCATCATTCGGTGTACATTCAAGGAAGTGCCATTTCTCCACTTCGATGACTATACCGAAACATCTTGAGATGGTATTTAATTCGCTGGCCAATCATTGCAACTTGTTAACTGTACAAGAAATATGTGTCAATTAAATTTTCAGAAAGCTTACCCATTCTGCTCTCCCTTTTGACTATGCGCCCATCGCGTGCGTCTATTGCAAAATCGACGAGGCCCTTCCGTTGATTTTCTCAATTAATTTTTCTGGTTAAATTTTGAAATCGTCCCAGAACCTGCCATGCCTAAACGGACGTCAAGCGATTACGTATTAATATTGACATGATTTCCGGTTTGATTTCGGTTATGCGTCCAAAATTCTGGTGAAACCGTAACACATTACACGATATACGTGTATTATCGATTAGTCAAGCATTTTAAAAATAAGCGCAACTATTAAGAAATTACACTATTACGGAAACTCGAGCGCTTTGAACACAAGAAATTTAAGGAATAAACAGAAGATGTCCCATATATCGAAATGGTCGAGAAGATATTACATGATAAGCAATTACAAATTTTTCTTATTCTTTATTTCGTTTATAACCTGGTTCGGATCAGGCAGCAGCGTAAGCGTTAAAAAAGCGAGTTTAGAAACGTCCATACCAGAATGGACATACTCGATGGCAATCACGCGTTTTGCTTACTAGTTTCCTAAACTTGGGTGTTTCGAGGGTATCGCGTTTGAATTCTGCCCTCATCGACTTCGACCCCGGACTACAAAGCTTGCTATATAACTCATTGTAGGTCTTGAGAAAGATTTCTCGAACTATCAAAAGTGTCTCGAGTTCATCAACAAAGGATAGCATATCTTTTTTCGATGCTGGTACTGTAACTTGACCGATGTGCGACATAAAGTACGTTCCATATTTAAGATCCATTGTATAAAAATCGATCGTATACAGTATTCTACGAAACGGAACTGATTAGATCAGTCGCTACTAAAATCATTTATTTACATTAGTTCACTTGCCAACGCATTGGAAACCAATTATATTGACATCTGCACCTTTGTCAATCGAAAAATCAACATGAATATCCCAATTCGAATAAGGTCGTTACAATTTTTGTATACATTGTTCTTCTGCGATGGTGGGCTGACTTCCCCGACAAATAGAACAACTACTGTTTGATGTTGAAGAACAATAGAGACAGCAAAATCCGGTTGCTTGCTTCGTCCTTCGAACTTTTTTAATTCACTTTCGATTAGAGCCGTATTGGGCCATTGCACAAGATGATTATCAGGATTATGTAATCAACGTGGCTTCGCTAGGCTCATTCCTAACTTTCTCATTAGGCAACGTTTCCAAACCTCGTAACACCATGAGACCTAAATTTTTCTTCAGTGACAGATTGTTTATGAGCTCTTGATGAAACCAATCCATGGCACTGTCACGAGACTGCTTTGCTTTCTTTATTGCCGCCCGAAACTTTGATTCGCATTCTGAATTAAGAGTTACATTCCGAGGTGGAACAGTTTGCTGATGTATTTTATCAAGCAATTGTGAACCAAAAATATTAATCATTGTTTTTGAATGTGATCCAGGAACTAGTAAAATGATTGATGATAAAGACAGGATTTCGTGAATGTTGGATTCCACAAGTAAACCACCATTTTTTGAGATTTTAACTGATTCATTTTGCCATTGTCGAAACAGCTGAGACACATTGATATTTCCTATTTTATAATCGTGTGGTTGCTCTTTGCTGTCGAAATAGAGATCTCCAACATCATCGACAATGAAATTATCTTCAACGTCTTTGTTCACGTCAATAGATGGATCATTGTCGAGGGAATATCCACCTCGTACAACGTTATACGGTGAAGGTGAAATAGAATCATCGTTGTTTGGTCTTTTAGCCATTCTCTCGTTATAAAAATCAAAATATGTTCGATTTCTTTGATGTGTAACAAATTCATTCTGATGATATAGACAGTGTTAGTATAGAATCAGGAAAACATTTGTCAGACTATCTGGTCAATTTACTGATGTTTCTTGAATAATATTAGCAAGAGATTTGTGTTGTCGCTAAATAATTTGAAATGTCAACTATGGCATACAACACAAGCATAGACACTTACTTCCAAACATGATTTCTTCTGCATAATTTCTAGTGCATCTTCAGAGTCGGCATGTCTCTTTTTGGCAATTCGGCATTTGTTGACATTTAATTTTTTTGACACCGGCAGCAAAGTTTGGGCGATTGCATTCTGGGTAGTCGCCAAGCTAGAAAACGACGCAGCCAGATCTCGTTGTGGACTAAGTAGAGTTTCGATGGCATTCTTGTTATTATGCCATGCTGTTAGACTACATATACGTCCATTATTTACCCAACTTTATATGGCCTCTCACCTGTCTTTCAGCTTCCAGATCTAAAAACACATGCTTGCGCTAGAGAGAACATCATTAGAACACGTCAGAAACAAGGGCTTGAACTCTGAAAGGTGGGACTGGATAGCTTGCGCGATTACTACGGGGGCCTCACAGTCGGGCAGGTGACTCGTGCGATTACTACAGGAGCCCCATGCCTAGGACAAGACTCGCAGACGGGAGACTTGTTCCCACCACTACGGAGTGGTCTTCACCTTCAGAAAGCATATGTAACGAGTTTTCTATTAAACTTACACGACGCTGGGTGCGAATATTTGCGAGTAATTCTTGCACACAACGGCTTAGAGTGCGCTCTGGTTCGTTCTCTGACTCCAATAACTTTTGTTGTTTTTCCAAATAGAGGAGATAGTCGGGCCACCCCAATTCCGGAGCACCTCGGAAGGAGTCTTAATGTACTTCATTTTCTGTAAGATAGTCGGCGTGCCAGAGGAGATTTCAGCATTCCACAAGTACGGAGATTGCATAAGGTGATCAAGGACTCAAGCTCCATCAAAGGGGAGTGAGGGACACCCTTACCTGAACATCCATTTTCGCCAAGATGTTGCTAAAGAACTATAGTTACTAAAGCGCGTTGGAGATTGATTTTCAATGTGAACGCGTTTTGTCGTAAATCATGTGAGAACTAAAAACTATGTAACACGTAATAGATCGAAAATGGTTATCAACTTTTTCTCTTTTCGATTTTTTAAAGAAACCCTTGACAGTCATAATAATGCAAACAAGAACCAACGTCTCTCAAGAAACCTCGGATGTCACTTGTGCCTCAACATTAGTTTTGTGGCTTTTCTCGGAGACTTAAATGATAAAAGATCTCCTACCACGTCACTAATTCTCTATATTCTCTATATTTCAACAAAAAATCACTTACAGTTATCAATTAATCTTTGTGCTTTCTCACGTCTTCCGTTTTAGCAATTATTTCGAGAGATAAAAAATATTCCTCAATTTTTGTCCAAACATTTTCAAATTACGTTTATCGAGAAAACCAAGAATGATTTATTCTGACCATCTTCGCTTGAAATATTTGTGCGGTATCTTTTTTGGACATTAAGGCGAAACATGATGAGTTGGAATCGCAAAAAACTCAAGAGTTTATCCATATTCAACTTCATACTTTAAATTCAGTGTTAGGCGTAGCCATGGTTGTGCAATTTAGAATTGTAAGCTTTTGTCGACTTTCGGGTTAGAAAATTGTTTATTAGCGAGATTAAAAAAGAGGAAAGGTAATAATCGCGCGACTGATGAAGAAATCAAATTACTGTATACTACCCACCTTTATCATAGTGAGGTGTGCTTAATCCACAACAGCGTCTAGAAGTTTGTATACTTACGTAATGAACTGTGGGTGGGGTGCACGTAATCTAGGTAATCTTTGGGTGGTTATGTTGCTTTCAACGATGCACACATCACAAGACTTAATTGCTTATCGTTACCAAATTTAGAAACTGTATGTGTAATTCTGGTTTTATTGCTAGCTGCCCAAAAATCTCATTTTGCTTCAGCCGATACTATGGAGAACAAAGTTGCAACACTTACAACAGAGCAATCTCAAAGCAAAGGCGATATATCAAAAAAAAAATGGCACTAAACCACAAGGGAAGAGCAGGCGCAAGAAAAAGAAGAAAGGAGTCAACAAAGAGAAGACAAAGGCAATTGCGATTGAGGTGGGTTTACTATTGCGATTTGTCAAGAGTTATATGTGATGATATTATCTCATGTACGCTCTTCTCATAGTACTTGTATGCCAGCGAACCGTCAATGATATATCAAGCGTTTACTGATTCTTACATACCTCCATCGCGTATGCTTTCTTCCACCAACAGAATAAGCAAACAAATGAATTTGAAGATCAAGAAGAAATAGAAATAGAGTATGTATCACAACCATTGGATTTACCTAACGATCCTAACTTTGAAGAATTCTCAAAGGTTTTTGCCCATTTTCAGATTACCGCCGAAGAGACTGAGGTACTTTCAAATCCTGTGCGCTGCTGCCTAGTAATTACCGTTAATGCTCTTCATATAATTTTATACATCTTACACTTGCAACTTATCAGACTCTAGCTGAACCGAAAGAGGAAGAAAAAGCAGAGACTCCTGCAGCCCTTACAGAGGCCAAAGTGAGCGATTCGGAAGATGAGAGTTCAATCAACTCGGACAGCGACAGGGGTGAGAAAGTATCAAAGAAGAAGCTACGGAAATTGAATCGGTTGAGTGTGGCTCAACTGAAGCAGTTGGTTAAAAGACCGGAGGTTGTTGAGGTTGGTAAATGTAAACAAGGCTATGAGATTTAGGCGAGATGGTTTAATAAAATGGAACTAATGCCAAAGTTTTCACTTATTTAGTGGGTAGATGTGACAGCAGCAGACCCCAAATTACTTGTACATATCAAATCATACAGAAACACAGTTCCTGTTCCTCAACATTGGTCACAGAAGCGCAAGTACCTTCAAGGCAAGAGGGGAATTGAAAAGCCTGCCTTTGAATTGCCCGGTCAGTGGAGATTTATGCTCATGATTACAGCATAACATTTCGCAAATCGTATTTAATATCGGTTCGTTTATAATTCTTGCTAAAACTAACCTGCGCTTATCATAATTGCTATAGATTTTATCAAAGACACAGGTATAATGGAAATGCGCGAAGCAGTAAGAGAAAAAGAAGATGCTGCTAAACTCAAGCAGAAAACACGCGAAAGAGTGCAGCCCAAAATGGGGAAATTAGACATCGATTATCAGAAATTGCATGATGCTTTCTTCCGATTCCAGACTAGGCCTAAACTTACCATTCACGGTGAACTGTATGATGATTCAAAATTCTTATGGCACAATCGCATTTTGATGTTATGACAAAATTGTTGATTTTCTTTATTATATTCCCCCGTCTCATTATTCTTCAAGTTACTATGAAGGGAAAGAGTTCGAAACTAAATTGAAAGAAAAGAAACCAGGACAGCTTTCTGAAGAATTAAAGGCAGCCTTGAACATGCCTCCACTAGCGCCACCCCCTTGGCTGATTGCTATGCAACGATATGGACCGCCACCGAGTTATCCTAATTTGAAGATACCCGGTTTAAATGCGCCCATACCTGAAGGGTAAGTTTGGAGGAAGTGGAAAAAGCAGATTAGTGGGAGGGGGATAAATAATATACGCATGTATTGATGCGAGGGTTTTATTCACCAATTTTGACGTTTATTTGTTAGGGCACAGTGGGGTTTTCATCCTGGTGGATGGGGAAAACCGCCGGTTGATGAGGTAAGATATGTTAATTTAATAATTGGCAAAGACCGTACGGTTTTCCGTACTGATTTATTTTTTATTCTAGTACAATCGACCACTCTATGGAGATGTGTTTGGAACATATCAGCAGGAAATACCTTCCGAGGTTCGTATGTCTATGTCTGTACATATATTGGAATATACGTTTATTGATTTCTTTCTTGTACATCTAAAGATGGTCCAACCTATTGAGCGAAAACTATGGGGAGAATATGAGCCAGAGGAAGATGGTATGGAGGTCATTTATTTGTCACATTCTTGTAACGGCGATTATTATGACCAAAGGAGAGCAAGGACGAAAATATTGTGGAGATGGATCATTATTCTTAATGGTCTCTAATGACGTAACGACTTTTGCATTCACATTAACTTGCAAAAATGTTGTTCCCTTTTATTCTCCTTTCACATCATATTCCTGGCTTCAGAGTCAGAAGAGTCAGAAACAGAAGAAGAACAAGAAGAAGGTGTTGAAGAAGATGTCTCTTCTAAAGCCTTGCAAGAAGGACTAGTTACCCCAAGCGGGCTATCATCTGTTCCCAGTGGACTGGAGACACCTGATTACATTGAATTACGCAAGTATCAGAACGGGCCATCTGCCCCTGCGGCTGCTAATGTACCGCCTTCTTTGGCTAGTGGATTGGAGACGCCCGAAGTTATTGAACTGAGGAAGTATCAGAGGTATGAATTGCGGTTGTAAGGGAGAAATATGGAATTGGACATATCAACAAGTATATGATTATTCTGCTCATAATGTTGCGTTTTTTAAATAGAACGGAAGAAGAAGAGCCAAAACAATTATATACGGTTCTTCCGCAGAAAGAGACATCGATCACAGGGTTCATGGGGTCTCAACACGTATATGATATATCAAATGCCACTGGCACATCTAAAGGAACGAAGGTGAGCACGTCACAATCTATTTCACCAAACACCTCGATTGTAATCCTAATTTATTGTATATTGTTCAGCGCAAGGCAGTGGGAGCCGGAGTGGAAGTTGCATTGGATCCGTCTGAAATGGCGAATCTTGACGAGGAGACTTTGCGTGCTAAATTTGACGAAGCCCAGGCGGTGAGAATTTTATCATTGATTCCTCCAACAATGGTCGTCCGTTCCATGTCCTTACATATATTTTTTTGTTATTCTTTGCAGGCCAGCCGACCAGAAGGAGCTCATGAAGATCTCTCAGATATGGTCGCTGAGCATGCAAGCAAACAGGCTAAAAAGCGCCAGAAGATCGCAGATGCTAAAGCTGCAGCACGTGATGCTGGGTCTGGTGGACAGGGTACAACGAAGAAGTACAAAGAGTTCAAATTCTAGATTTTGTGATATGAAATTGAGAACGTGTCGTAGTTGGGAGTTTATGAGTGAACGAATTAAATGGGAATAAAGAAGCTTAGAATAATGTTAATGCTGAAATTGTTCAGATCAACACGATTTGGTGGGTGAATATGATGAAAGTTTCCGCGGATTAACTTAAGGTCCCTATTATGATAGTAATAGGTACACTTATTAAATTCATTTACGATATTTTGCTTTATAAAGTTTTTCGCACTGAATTATAATGCTAGCGCCAGGACTTCAAATGTTTACATACTTATTACTACGCTGAATATTTAGAAAGTAACCCACTCCACGTCACTTTTTTTGTTAAGAGAACCTAATACTAGCGTCGATGTTGTTATTGTTGCACTCACAGCACATGAATATATACAAGCTACCCAGTCCTAATACTAGCGTCAATGTTGTTATTGTTGCACTCACAGCACATGAATATATACAAGCCACACAGTCCCAATGCTACCATTAATTCTAACATCTTTTCATTGGTAAAATTAAATCATTGGCGCTTCCAAGTTGACTATTTTTAGTGTAACTCCTCCATGGTTTCTATATGTCTTATTATTATGCCATACACACTACGATACAGCACGAGGTTGTAAGTCACGGGTTCGTTTGTTAGCTCTCTGAGTGACACAACAGCTCCAAAAACTATTTAACCTCAAAAAGACTGAACACGCTTTTCGTCGTATATCTTATTTCAATGCCATAAGTATGGATTATAATACTGCACACTCAAAATTCACCAGGACGTACTATGGTCCATGTGCGGTACCCATACACCACAGTGGACGAAAACGCTCAAGGAGCAATAGTCTGAACTCAGTTGAGCAACCGCAGGTACTGCTTACTACTTCATCAGTCACAATTCTGACTTCTATGGGTCATAATAATTAATATTATAAATTATAACACAGAAAAATATAAAAATATATAATCCTTCTGCTCGACTACGCTTATCTCCGGGGTATGCATCTTTGTCGTCGCTCTATGAAATAAGTGAACAAAGTAGGGGAGAACTACTTAGAGAGTTGAATACTAAAACCCAAGCAATGAGTGTGCAAGAGGATGTTGAGCTCATGGAATGCGATATATCACCTAATGATAATTTGGACGATAATACGGTGAGATTAGGTTTTACCATTAACCAGTGTCAAGTTATTGTTATCCTAAATTAATGTGTGCACATTGACATTACTGTGATACTAAATAAAGTACCTTGTTGCAGATAAAACCAGAACCTTTCTGCGTTCGAACATGTTCACCTTTATCCAAATATTATCGAAACCGACAGGTTCAGCTACCGTATACAATGGGCTATCGTGACGATTGCGAAAAATGTCGACAGAGAGTACCCGGCCATTATTCACATGTAATAACTACTAAATAGAACATGATACCGTAAAGAATGTGAACTGGATCATAAAAGCAATATCGGCCTGGGCAGAAATTTGATTACCTCTAAAAACGTACTACAACCAACCAGTCGATGATTTAGACTATTTAATTGTAAACCATGGTTAGACATGGTTTGTGAACAGATTAGGCAGTCGTATTGACCGAGATTATTTGGTTCTCTCGGATCTAATTTTCGTACGGTGCCGTAATTCCCACAAACGATTTACATGTAATATTTTCTTACTGTATAATTCTACTGGGTACTGCAACAAAAAAAAAAGACCTGTCAAGCTTACGACAGTTACAGTGACCTTGTCACGAGTTCACTATTTTTTGATTGTTTGTTATACGATGACAAGTTTGGTTTTTGAGTTGAGATGATGAAATCGTTGAGAGTGAGGTGGAAGTATTCAGTGTTTCAGGAGTGTGAAATAAAATCCTCTTATCGCAGCAGTCCGTTATCAATGAACATGTAAATATTTAACCAATTCCAATAAGTGAATGCACCATTCGGCATTCTTTTCATTGGTATGATCAAATTCACAACTCTTAGACTTATAAAACTCTTACTCTGTCTTTATATCAGAATTGTGTCTCAAAATTGTTAGAGTTTTCCATTAGATCGAAGAAAAGGGGTTTTGCTTTGTTAGGATGTACGTTTTCGGATAACAATAAAAGCCAATCTAACATCAAAAACACTTTCTCAACGAACAGCTTGGAAATTGTTATTGTAACATATGACCAACCATTGTTAGGTCTAATATATTTTAAGTTCAGCGTCCATTGCAATTATGAATATTGTATAAAGTTCTTGTAAAAGTTTCACCCTTTCCCTAAGAATCTTTTTACGCGCATTTTTATTTTCTAAAAACTAAACCGCATATAAAAAAAAGATTGTGAACGCGTAAACGTCAGTGAAATACCGTCAGGTAAAGTAAAAGGCTTGGAGATGTCAAATTCATAAAATGCAGTTTGTACAACTTCGATCAGAGTTTAAATTATATATACGACCATAAAATGCAGAATATTAAGAAAGCAGATAGATAATTTCCAGAATTGGTATGTCCAAATCGAAAAAACGAATAAAACCAGATCGATTATTATATCTTGTCAATACATTTGCTTGTTGTTTATTTGAAATGATTCCGATTCAATTAGTCTCGCTGAATGGTATTGTTAATTTTTAGGTACCAGTGAGATTTCACTGCATCGTTGGACTTTTCTTTTCGGAAAACCAGTTACAATTTCACGATCATAGTGACTTCTTGATCGCATCATTTGTATTCTACGCGTAGAATGATTGGTACGTAGCACTGTTATAAGCGCTACTATTACTACTTCAAATATAAAGCCCATACTATTTGCATAGTATTAGACACGTGACAAAATATCTATCAACGGAGATTTTTAATTTGGATAATCATTCGCCGTGGTCGATTTAAGTTGATAATCTTACGGATCATGTCTTCATTTCTTAATCATGGCTGCAACTTACAAAGACAGAAACTTCGTAGCTGTTATCGGAGATGAGGTATTTCGAGATCATATGTACTAATTCTTTGTAGTTCGCTTCGTTCGTTCAAACCCTGTTGCTATGAAAGGACTCAGTTACGGGACTATTGTTGGCCGGTGTAGGCCATATAAATACACAACAAAAGTCAAACTTCTTGGTTGTGGATGCTAGTAAGAATTACAAAGTCAAAATGATAGCATTTTACAATACGTCCCTCTCAGGTTTGTTAATAAATTCTCGTTAAATATATTAGAAACACCGTTATCGAAAATAGAAGAAACCTTCATGGAGTTCACGAAAAGAAAGGATATAGCCATTGTTTTAATAAATCAGCATGTGAGTGTATCTTCTATATCATCATGGAATCTACTACAACGTACATTCTTTTCACCTTCACGGACTGAACACATATTGTAACAGATTGCTGACCTTATAAGACCGCTAGTAGACGACTATGACCAAGCCTTTCCAACTGTTCTTGAGATTCCATCGAAGGATCATCCATACGGTAAGCAAATTTTGATTATATATATGAGAGCATATAAACAAGCTATTGATTTATTTTCCTTGTATGCATCAGATTCTGAGAAAGACAGCGTACTTAAGAGAATACAAAGGCTGTTTGGTGAATAATATTGTTAGTGGACACTTTGATCATGAATGTAAAAATAAAAATATTTATTATTATATTCCGGGAAAAAGAAAATTAGAAATATTGATATGTTGCGGTCTACAGATAATGTGGAGCACAGTACTTAGTTTAGGGCCAGAGCAGTAGTTACTCATCTGGATATTCCCGGCTTACGATTGAAAAGATGAAAAAGTTTAGCTATTATTGGTGATATCGCCCAACGAAGACGGAACGGCAAGCCTTGTTATATATTGAAAGTCTTTTACCGTTCAAGTCAACAATACCAACGTGCCACTTGCAAAGTAATTCATTATTTCACGTCACATATTAGAAACTCAAACAAAAGTTGCTTCTCAATCTGGATGTTTGCTATCGTTATACGGCATTTATCATTGAAAAAAAAATCGATAGTTTGATACAGCCTATAATTACAAATCGGCTTGAATATGCTTCTCCGGCAATCAAGTTTTGTCAGAACCAAGCTGAACATTTTGACAGCTAGTCTTAAGCCCAAAATAAAAGTATAAACAAAAATAACGCAACGTAAGGCTAGCAAAATCGTCTTTTGCATTAATTTATTGGTTTCGTTGAGTTGATATTTTTATCAAACCGTTTTTAATTAAAAATTGCACGTAGGCCTATACTTTTACTGGGATAATTCCCCAAATGCTTTCGGCATACTCCTTAATGGCGCGATCCCTGTTGATATGGGATACATGATATTAAATAAACTGCGCACTAAACAACAGCTTCAAACTATGATTGAATAGAGATTTGATACTTACGAAGAAAACTGGCCCATGTTTGCAGTGCATAATATACTCTTCTTAACCCAATCCTTCTCTTTCTTATAAGCTTCGTCAACGAGCTTCTGGGCATCCAGATACGATCCAAAGTCATCAGAAATAAGATAGTAGTCTTTTCCAAATGTCAAAGTGTTGATCAATGGGGCAAAGATACGCGCTTCACCGAAGCTTCCTGATTCGATGTCTTTTATTACAGCATCCAAATGTGGGTCCATTGGGACATCACGGTATCTAAGAGATAATATAAAAGTTCATTTTACAACCTCGTATAGAGATCCCAAATAACTCAGCAAACCCAAAATACCTGTGTGCATATCTCAAATCATCCACTTGCTCAGCCAAATGTCCAAACATGAAAATGTTGTCGTCTCCAATCTCCTCGTGAATCTCAATATTCGCCCCATCAACTGTTCCAAGAATTAATCCACAATTAAGAACAAACTTCATGTTGCTCGTTCCGGAGGCTTCGGTGCCAGCCGTGGAGATATGTTGCGAGATGTCCGAGGCAGGAATGATTATTTCTGCTACGGAGACGTTGTAATCAGGAATGAAAATAACCTTGACAAAAGCCAATGCATCTTACTTAATGAAATGTTTCGGGTGTAACGAAAAAATACAATATTGTGTAAAATTATTACCTTCAAAAGGTCTTGAATGGTTGAATCCTTGTTTACGACACTGGCTACACTATTTATGAGCTTTATTACGAGTTTGGCTATGTAATAGCCTGGAGCGGCTTTACCACCAAAAATCACTACACGGGGCACAACGTCGCGCATCTGCTCTGGCGACATGCTCTTAATAGTGTTATAGCGATGGATTACCCTGTATAAAGTGACAGTGAGATAATGATACTGCTAACTATGTGTAACATTCGCCATGACGTACCCAAGAATGTTCATAAATTGCCGTTTGTACTCGTGAATTCTCTTAACTTGGACGTCAAATAAAGCATTTGGATTAACGTCAACATCCACAACATCGCGAATGTATTCTGCTAATCTCACCTAAAGATTGAACAGCTTAGTCGTTTTGATTTCGTTTTCGGTACATGAATACTGCACTTTGGAATTCTTACTTTGTTCGAGTGCTTGACAGCCATCCAGCGCCGTCTAAATTCTTTGTCATGAACAGATTCTTCGAGTTTCTTTAAAAGTGTTAGATCTTTCAACCAATCTTTATGGCCAAGAGTTTCGGTTATTAATTCGCTGAGTTTTGGATTTGCTTGGTGAAGCCATCTACAAAAAAAGAGAACCCAGGTTTAAAGATTAGGTTGCCATGGAACACGCAAATTGTTATGATAAAGACGATATTCCTTTCTACCTTCGTGGAGTAATCCCGTTAGTCTTGTTTTCAAATTTATCTGGTCCGTAATACTTGACGAAATCTTTGAATATCTGATAAACGATAGGGTGTTAAGAACATTAATACTGTCGCAATACAATTATATAGATTATAACGTTCGTTCACTCACAGTTTCCTTGATAAGTTTTGAGTGTAGTTTAGCCACTCCGTTGACACGGTGAGAGCCTATCGTAATACTAGTGTGAATAAAGTGGTATCTACATATTTAATGCTATGTAAAGTATCTTACCGACTATTGCGAGATGAGCCATTCTATATAGATTTAAAATTTCAAAATTAGCGCAAATTTAAGTTTACTAGTCGAATCTCAAATGTCGAGTAAGGTTTACCTAACGTATTGTGGCGTGCTTTCCTCAATGATTGACAGTCTCGCGAGGAAATCGCGATCGCCGGGAGCAAATTTCTCCACTCTTTGGAGGAAAAACTATAAATGACAAAAACAATCGTAAATATCTTTGTCTTAATACGCTTTTTATGATCAACGTTCAAGACATTGCTATATATACCAAATTGAGATCAAATATAATTTGTATGTGTCTGGGCAACAACTGACTGATCATAGGAACAGGCCACTTCTCCATAGCCTCTGGTAACACAGTATGATTAGTGAATGCGAATGTGTGGGTAACAATGTCCCATGCTGCATCCCAGTCAAGACGCTACAAAAAGTGTTTGGAGAAAATTAATCACGCGTTACGTAGTTGAAATGATAAAACCATGACACCGGACTTTGTCAAGATAGTCAACTAGCATAACGAGGACAACTCACTTCTTCATCCACAAGTATTCTTTGCAGTTCAACAATAGCAAGTGCTGGATGCGTATCTAATAAATCATAATAAGTCAGCAATAAGCAGGAAATTTTGATTTGATAAAATAACTTTTCCTACCGTTAAGTTGGATAGCAACCTAAACGAATAATGTCCAAGTAAGTTTGAAAGTACATTCTAAGCACTCCGTTCCATAATGCTTAATTGAGAATTCATAAAAAGTTACCTGATCAGGAAATTCATTCCAGTCACGCTGAGATTTTTTAAACCGACGAACTCTGCAATGTACACGACAAACGTTATCGTATAGTTCAACTCGTACACCGATATATTACTATTACAGACTCTACCCACATGTCATGCAAGCTAGCAGCAACCCAAAAATATTGTTGCTTTAATCTCAATTCCTTCCCAACCATGTGATTATCGTTAGGATAAAGCACCGCGGTCAAAAACTCTGCTTTCATTTGTTCTTGCACAGCTTGATCATATTCTCCGGCATTAAATTTGCCGAAATCGAACTTCCTTCTTGGCTTACTATTCCACAATCTTATGTTAATACAATTCTTCACTCCGTAACCGGGAATAGGGACATCGTATGCAACTGCTTGCACGGTTTCTCCGCCAATCCATTCATGACGAACTTTATCACCTTCCGTGATTTTGTTAACGTGACCACCAAACTGTACGTCGACTACAATGTCTACGCGGGGAAGTTCCCATGGATTATCAAAATTAAGCCAGTAGTCTGGGAATTCATCTTGATAACCATCTACAATTCTACGATATAAATTCGTCGGTTTAGAATAAGCGTCCATCCTATTGCCCATTACCGCTCAGTTCTACATACTTTTGCTGGAAAATACCATAGGTATATCTAACGCCATAACCCCAAGCAGGATAACAAAGAGTAGCCAAGGAATCCATGTAGCAAGCGGCCAGACGACCCAAACCGCCATTACCCAAAGCAGCATCAACTTCTTGATCTAATATGTCTTCCATTTTGAAACCTAGTTCCTTGACACCCTCTAAGAAAGTACAAAGCGATCAATATGAAGTATATAAATCTCTTGTTTTGTGATAGACATGGTCGTACCGCCAAAGGAATCCTTGAGTCCGAGGTTGAGTAATGCATTATCTAACGATCTACCCAGAAGAAATTCGAGTGACAAATAATAAACGCGTTTCTGATCTCTCTCTGTATGAATCTTAGCACGATGTGTAGAGTTAGTAAAATTTTGTCTCGTGATATTGTATTACGTTACACGACTATGTATAAATAGATCTTTTTCCTTGAGCTTTCTTGCACCATTTTATTCACCTGCTGAGTTTCGTTCCAGCGCTGAATTAGACGATCTCGTACGCTGTATAGATTGACGGATAATCGATCAGTAATTGACAGATCTTGCTATAATAATTAGCGACTAGTATTCAAATACCACATAAATTGAAGTTTTTACATACGCATGTGCTGTTGCTTGATACGCACTGAAGTTATCTACATTGTAAATTGACCTCGCCAGAGTCGTATTAACATGACGAATGAATGACTTCTGAAATGTTTCCTTATCTGAAAGGAACATTAAATAGTAGCTTTCAATATTAATAACGTCTGTGCGTTATATAAATAATGCATACAATGAACCACGTACTTATCGTCTCAGGAACAGAACACTTTTCCCATAACTCGATTACTTCTGGCCTCCATTTAGACAACTCCTTTTTCAAATCATTCGGCCCATATCCTGTAAAGGTACGCTTATGACGGCGCCTGTTCTCCATGTCAGAAGTTGATAGAAGTCGTGAAGTATGCCTATGAAAAGAGGACGAAGAATAACGTCTTCCTGTTGAAAGTATTTAAGCAGTCCAAACCAATCGTCATACAAAGTTACACATCATGCGATAAAGATCACGGGATAGTTTCAAAATCTGCACAATAAAAAATATTATCTCGACCAGCCAAAATAAGATATTTTAGGAAAGGAGGCGGACGGTTGCTGATATTCACAGATCATCCCACTTTTTCCCAAAAGTCTTTCCCAACACAACAGAACCAAAAAGTCTAGCCCCATCGCACTTCCCCTCGATGCGATCTAGAAACCGCTGACGTAACCATGAATACTTATGCACATGTTAACGTTGATCGTAATAAAGAGAGCGAATCACCAAAAAAAGTTCTCTTTTAGGATGTCCATTGCGCAAATAGGCGAGTTAAACAATCAGCCTTTGACAATTCATCGTTACATTGTCTTACCAAACAAACGCCAAAGAACACCTTTATACTAACCTACTATAATCATGAAGGCAAATTCCATTGATGCAGACTTTGAAGCGTTCAAATATTTAATAGTTACGGCTGTCGCTTATAATGACGTCATTAAGACGGCATGATTCTTGTCGAGATACACTGTTATTTGTAATGATCCACGAAGCTTAAAACGATGGATTATTCCTGCATGTAGTGGTGAATCAACAAGTCATGTCGCATTTTAACGTACTGTCCTGTACGAAAAGCTGTCCCATGCGTTGACAACCTCTATTTAAATAGTTCTTCGGCCTGGCACAGGCAGAAACTGTACGAGTTACTATAGATACTCTTAACGTTATTTGCTACATCTGCCAACAATGAATTGATCGCTTGGCGTATCCTTGGTTCTTCCTTCCCATCCCCATCACGTGCAAGGAACTTTTTTTTGCGAAATCGCAATTACCTAATAACGTGGTACTCTTTCATCTGATCTGACCAAATTTTCGTTTGTTCATACAGGCACTCCTACTTTCAATTTGGAAGTTGCCAAAAGTAGGAAACAATGTTTTTATAAAACGTTTCATTCTTGCCGAAGATCCAGTCCTAATAGGGCTAACACGGGACAATCTTTAAGTATAAATTTAAATAAAGTAAGCCAAACAGATTGTCAGAAGTGAAAGATTTATTATTACTTTTTACTTGATACAAATCATCCAATACATTTCAATAAATAACGGATAGTTCAACTGAACAACAATAATTCTAAGTAAATAACAGAACCATAACATAACTGATGATTTGTAAATAACAGATATACCCGTATATATCCTTGTAATAATTAGTAACGACGGCAGACAGTGTTTACTATTTCCTTGGCATCTGAACAGCAAGAATAGATAAAAAATGTTAGCTAACGATTGTTATATTACATCTCACATGACAAATTGAGAGGACTAACCTTTTGCTCTTACATACACCATACAATATGGGTTGGCTGTTGACCCGGTGGTATCGGCAAACACTTCACTCTCCCTAACCTGCACGCGAATATATTCCCGTCAGGCGTATTGCACAATAACCGTAGCAACTAATTATCCTGCAAAGCCAATACATACCTCTGACACGTATGAATCATTATACTTCAGCCATCGTTCGTTCTCAAAATCATATATGTATACCCAGTAATGTCCAAACGACGCTTGACCTACAAGTATAGGAAGATTACTAAGCAAATGTGCCATATTCAGATATTACACTGGCATATGTACGTTCCAGCAGACATACCACTATGTACAAACACAGCATGTATTCGATACGCGCATTCTCGCAAGTCTCTAAACTGAGATTGTAGCTTGTCCTTCTGTATACCAATCAATGACTCAGCATCTGAACACATTGAAAAGAATATAATAACAATTAGCGTCATCCAATCGAATTAAGCATACGGGAGACGCCTATAGTGAACCGTGTGCCACATGCTCACAACGTAGACTTCATTGCGCATACTATATACCAACCTGACAAATCACGCCGGAGTTTTGACGCTTCCTTACTTATACATGATATATTTACATCGACTTCTTCTCCTAATATCGACTCTATATCTCCTTTGTGCTGATTCAGGAAATCTGTTGTATGGTTTAATAATTCGACTGATGATAAGCCGTTAAACTGAATGTACAATTAAGTTAAAAGTTAACTACAGGGACAGGATTTAACGTTCGTATATTGGATGATCGTTATACCTTACGCTCGGTAAGTTCCTTGACTTTTTCAGTTAACAGTTCGAGCTGTTGTCTCCATGAA